GGCGCTGCGAAACTTCAGAGACCAGTTAGAGAAAACCAGTTAGTCCCTCCCCCTGTGTTCACAGGCTGACAGGAGCTGTGCTCAGACGTTGGTTCTCCCTCTGCTCAGCTGTATCCGTTTGGCAAGCCTGCCCTCTTGGAGCCTGTTCCCTTAGGTGTACAACAAGGGCAAGGACGCCCCTGCTCACCTCAGTGATGGTTCAAAGGCCTCAGGATGGTTGGTAATGGGCGTGAAATTCTGAAGGGCTGTGCGGCTATAAGACATCAAATGCCTGTTTTCTAAAAGTCGAGCGTTTTGGACTTTGGTAAGCAGTTAAGACGCCAGCTTTATTTTTACTTATCAGTAGGAGAAAGCATTTTAGAAAGTCCTGCATCGTTCAGATTCATGGATGGTAAAGACAGTGAGTGCATCTGTGGCCAGGAAGATTGTTGTTTTCTCCAGCTCATTTTGAAAGCCGTGCTCTGTGGTCAGTCTCTTTCCATACCTTTGTTCTTCACTTCCTACTCCAGTTCTTCGCGGCCTTACGTACTTGGGGCCAAAGGCTCTTTGAATCTCACTTTAGGATGGGAACTGACATAATAGACTGTTCATCCCTGAGAAACCCTGTGTCTGAAATGGCAAGCACTGGGACGTGAGTGCTACTCAGACTCTCTAAGTGACCAGAGCTTGGTCTTTGTTCTAAAGTTTGCTGTTTCCTATCTACCAGTCCACTTCTAGAAATTCATCCTGTAGGCATAGTTCACAAAGCACAGATTCACAAAGATTACTGTATAAGGATTAGAGGAGGTCTGCAAAAGTGAAAAATTGAGACCAATCTAAACGTCCAAATGAGGAGAAGGACTATATTATGGTAAAGGAGCCCCAAATACTGGCGCTCATTTTTACTTCTCTAAAAGTTGAGCTCAAATGGCCAAGGAGTTTTTCTGCTCCCAATGTTATGGCTCTCCTTTACTGTGAACCAGGAAAACCTCCATATTACTCTGTATTTGTTTTCCTATTTACTGATCATAAAACATTTGTTGTAGAACAGACTATGTTTGGCTTGAAATGATGGATGAAGAAGATGTTTGAGAAAGAAAAGTAGCAGACATGGAACAGGGTAGAGAGCCCAGAAGTAAGCCCATACTTGCATGGTCAATTAATCTATGACAAAGGCAACAAGAACTTATGGGGAAAAGACGGTCTCTTCAATAAATGGTGTTGGGAAAACTGGACCACTTTCTCACAGGATATGCAAAATTAACTTAAATGGATTAAAGATGTAAATGTGAGACATGAAACCATAAAACTCCTAAAAGAAAACATAGGCCATAATCTCTTGGGATGTCAGCCTTAGCAACATATTTATGGGTATGTCTCCTCAGGCAATGGAAACAAAAGCAAAAATAAACTATTGGGGCTTCATCAAAATAAAAAGCTGTACAGCAAAGGAAACCATCAACAAAACAAAAAGGCAGCCTACTGAAGATATTTACAAATGATAGAGCCAATAAGAGGTTAATATCCAAAATATATAAAGAATTGATAAAATTCCACATCAAGAAAAAAAAAAAGAAAAAACCTGAAAAATGGGCAGAGGATCTAAATAGCCATTTTTCCAAACAAGAAAAACAGATGGACAGACAATAGACACATGAAAAGATGCTCAACATCACTGATCATCAGGGAAATGCAAATCAAAACCATAGTGAGATATCACCTCACACCTGTCAGAATGGCTAGACTCAAAAAGACAAGAACTAACAAGTGTTGGTGAGGTTGTGGAGGAAAGGGAGCCTTCGTGCACTGTTGGTGGGAATGCAAACTGGTGGAGCCACTCTGGAAAACAGTATGGAGGTTCCTCAAAAAACTAAAAATAGAAATACCATGTGATCCAGTAATTCCACTGCTGGATATTTACCCAAAGAAAGTGAAAAGATATGTACCCTGTGTTTATTACGGCACTATTTACAATAGCCAAGGTATGAAAGCAACCCAAGTGTCCATCAATAGATGAATGGATAATGAAGATGTGGGATATATATATATATATATATATATGGAATATTATTCAGTCATAAAAAAGAATGAGATCTTGGCATTTGGGACAACATAGACGGACCCAGAAGGTATAATGCTAAGTGAAATAAGTCAGAGAAAGAGAAATACCATAGGATTTCACTGATGTGGAATCTAAACACAAAGGAACAAACAAACTCTTAAATACAGAGAACTAGTAGTTCCCAGAGGGGAGGGAGGTGGGTGGGGGATGGGCGACATAGATAAAGGGGATTAAGAGCTACAAACTTCAAGTTATAAGATAAGTCACAGATTAAAAGTATAGCATAGGGAATACAGTCAATACCGTAATAACTATATGGTGACAGATGGTGATTGCACTTACCAGGGTGAGCACTGAGTAATGTATAGAACTGTTGAATCAGTATTGTACACCTGAAACTCCTATAACATTGCATGCTGATTGTACTTCAATTAAAACAGAAACCAATGCTGAGTTAAAAGTGTACACTTCTCTTAGTCTTGGCTATATTTATCTGATTAAAAAAAAAAAAAGATTAATCCTTAAAAAAAACAGAGTAACATACAATCTGAAAAGCTTCCTGATAATTTAGTGAGTATACCAAGTTGCTGAGGCCAGTGGCACAATCTCTTTCACCTAAATCTATTCACGGCTCTTCTTTTGATTCGCTTTACAAGTACTCCCAATCCGAGCCCCTTGGACCCAAAAAAAAGGCAGCAACAGAGAACTATGATCTGTGTTTGCTATTCGAAAAAGCCTAAAGGAAATCCTACACTTACCCAACAAAACTTCGCTTTGCCAGAACACCATCCAATTAAAGTGATACCCCTGATTATTTCATTTTGACCAGCAATCGTATTTTTAAAAAATTTTTAAAAGGATTATTTTTCTTAGTAACCTCTACACCCAACATGAGGCTCGAACTCACAACCCCGAGATCAAGAGCTGAATGCTCCTCTGACTGAGCCAGTCAGGTGCCCCTGACCAGGAATTCTAATTGGCACTTTTGCATTGTTGATTAACAAAAACAGGAAATTAAGTTATTATTTAATACATTCATTTCATTTAGTAAAAAATTCTTGCAAACCAAGGGACCTGAAGGAAAAAGACTTTTAGCATTTTTAGGGCCAGAGCCACCTGCACAATCACTGGTCTGTTGTATCCAAGGAATTCTACCCACCCATGTGTCCACGTTATAAAGTCAAATCTACAGCGAAAACTTTAGCTTTATTTTACATGAACAATGCTCTTTCTCCCTCCCCCAAACGGTCTCTGATAAGCTTTACCATAAACCCCACCAAGAAGATAAAACATTGACTCTGAAGTCCTGAAAGAGGGAAGGATTCTAGGAATAGAGCTGAATGCATTTAGTTAAGAGGAAGGAACAAGTCTGCCCTAAAAGAATGATCGCTGTAAAAGAAAGATGTATTTTTAGATATCATTTAGAAGAAAAGTTTTCAGTGAACAACCGTAACGTATCCATGCTAGGGATCGCACTGTGCAGGCAAGAAGAATGGAGTTTAGGAATAGGTAGAGACATGAAATAATGCCCAAGAAACATGAAGTGAAAACAAGCAAATTGTAGGACAACATGTATAACAGCATCCCATTTGCCTAAAAGGAAAATGGATGGACCACTGTGATGTGTGACTATTGTGTATGCAGAGACCGAGAAGGACAGGTTCACATATGCCTAGGTCTAGAGGGATACTACTGAGGGAGGAAGAACTTTACTTTTGACTTTATATATAGACTCCAGTATCATTTTGATTTTAATGTTTTTTAACATGAGATAGAGAAAGAGCAAGCAGGGGGACAGGGAGGGACAAGCAGACTGCACTGAGCGCAGAGCCCGCGGTGGGGCTCCATCACACAACCCTGAGATCATGACCTGAGCCGAAATCAAGAGTGATGCTTAACCGACTGAGCCACCCAGGCGCCCCAGTATCATTTTAATTTTAAAGAAGGATTTCTAAAGGGCGCTGGGTGGTTCTGTCAGTTAAGTGTCTGACTTTGGCTCAGGTCATGATCTCAGGGTCCCAGGATTGAGTCTCAGGTGGGGCTCCCTGCTCAGTGGGGAGTCTGCACCCCCATACCCCCTTGTACGCGCACATGCATGCTCTCTCAAATAAAATCTTTAAAAAATAATAAAGGAGGATTTCTCACCTTTGCAATTAAACCAAGCTAAAACGCCCACCCAATTTTTAAAGGGCCATGGAAGTCGAGCATGGAACAGCACGTAACGGGCTGGAAAGGCACCAGGGCCAAGGGAAGTTGTGTTCGTGGACAGATGCATCAACAGTAGCCACAGGGCTGGCTCCGCTCCCTAAACCAGAGGTGTCTCCTGCTTCCTGGCCAGTGGCCACCTGGGCTGGGATAGGAAACCGATGAGAGAGAGGACATTCCCCTGCCCCCAGGCCCTGGGGTTTCACAGCAGCCTCCCGCCCTGGGCACACACCCGATCGCTCGGTTCTCCCGCGCTGCCTCACTCCCGAGTGAGCCCAGCGAGCTGTGAGGGCCGCCCCCTGGGGCCTTCCGCCCTCCTTCCATGCCCAAGACACCAGGAAATGAGAAAGTACAGTATATACCTTTTTAATTTCTTAGATCACAATCTGAGAGGATGTTCTGTTGGCAGAGCATGAACGTTCTGTCCTGCATCTTACCTGCTGTTGAACGAGATGGTAACACGGGCCACATCTTTATTTCAGCCCTTTCCAGAAGCAGAAAGGACTCTATTGAATTACGATTAATATTCTGGAAGTAAAAACTTCGAATTAGTGTTCTGGGAAGACGCAGGGCTGAACGATGGGCTGATTAGGGATTGTTTTTCAGGACTGCTAAAGAATGTTTACAGTTAGAATCAATGTCATTATTCCCTGATCATTTAAAAAACATGCCAGCCCCATGGCAGAGGCCGAGGAGTATGCTTATGCCCACAGCCGATGGAAACCTCCCCCAGGGCCTCTGAGTGCTTGGCAGGAGTGGGCTCACACACAAAGCACCCGGCCTTTATTTCCAGGCTTTATTTCATTCTTTAATATTTTTCCACAGCTTAAAACATAACTTATAGCTTAATATTTCCAGTGGCTACCCTCTAGAACATAATGTTTTCTTTTTTGGAAAATAGACCAAAAAAAAAAACAACAACTTCAGGCTCTGGAATGAACACTTTCCACAAGAATGTTCAGGATGGAGGGAGCTTTAAAAGTGCAAAATAAAGAAATGGAAAGCCAGGTGGGCTAACTTTTCATGAGTTTTGGGGGGCAGTTTATTTTACATTTGGTTTTGTCCATGGAGGCCTCTCCTTAGGTATGCTTTGCCATTCCTTTTTCAAGATTTTATTTTTAAGTAATCTCTACACCCAACATGGGGCTCGAACTTACAACCCCGAGATCAAGAGTCGTGTGCTCTACCTCCTGAGCCAGCCAGGCGCCCCTCCATTTCACCTTTTATTCTGAAGATGACCACCCCTGACTTCTGACAAGCTGAGAAGTTCAGTTCTGGAAAGTAGGGAGTATAAAGGAGGACACACAGACTCCAGCAGCCATCCTGATCCAATCCGTTTCCTGCCAGTGGGCCTTCTGTGTGAAAGAAAGAACTGATCAGATGACCCTTGACCCTCTCTTTGTTCTGGTACTCCCACCCTGCTTCCTCGTGGCACTGGGGCCTGGCTCCTCCGACTGCTGCCTGGGGAAAGGACATGTGCGTATACAGGAAGTGGCCCGAGGCTGAGAATCTTCTCTGTGGCAGGCGCTCCAGCTACCAATTAGTTGTGTGGACCAATTGCTCTCTTGCCTTTTGAATCAAGTAGTGCCTTTAGAGTCCTTTTGGAAGGTCACAGAGCTCCTGTCCGACTGCTCCAGATCTCTCCTTGTAACCTTGGATTATTTAGAGAAAGGCCTCTTAGCAACTTCTCCAGGCAACTTCTCATTTGCCACATGGCAAGTAGAACAGATGTAGACACTGAGGACTTAAGGAAAAGAGGAGGGAATGTTCTAGCTCTCCTTCATGTCTGCATGGGTGAATTTGCAGGTGGAGGCTGGGGACTTAGCTCCTGACCTCGGCCTCCACCGTAACTGGGGTGGTGCCTTTGGTCTGTAGCTAAGAATGTTGGAGAGAGAAAGGAGAATGGAAAATAAATTCATGCCTGCTTTAGAGCTTACCAAATGGAAGATGCGATGGAGACACTTTCAGGTAAACATGGTGACTAACAAGCCAAGAGAATGAGAGCCGAGGCCAGTTGTGATCCAGTCCCTCATTTCGCCTGAAGCCCCAAGACCCCAGAGCGTTTTCTCACTTGGTAGCGCTCCGTAGAGGACTTACTGCTTTCCAGATCCTTGAAGAATCCTCATGCTTTTCTTCAACTGCTTGGGGAGCTCTATGCATTCGTGGGCTTCACGTGATACCCTGACTATGAGGTAGGTGAGGGCCAAGCGTTCCTAAGCCCACTTGGGAGAGCACGAGGGCCTGACTTGAGACAAAGCATTGGTGACAGGGGGAGGGGGGTGCAGAGACCTGAAGCCCAAGCTAACGTCCTGGTCATACCACCGTGCATGGTCATACCCCATGCAGGCTCGCTTTCACACAGGTACCATTACCCAGCCTGTCAGGGAGCCATCTGGACCCCAGCTGCTGCCCCCAGTGGCGATGAACATGTGGGTTCCTCACACTGGCCTAAGTTGGGGCCATGGAGGGAAAATCTGATTAACGCTGGAATAAGAGAGGAAGAGAAAGGTGATCTCCCTATTCCTGTTTCCAGTGCTGGTCCCACGGGCACGAGTGAAGCTCCCCTCCCTAAAGCTTCTGGCCCAGGGCCTGGCCCTGCTCCGAGCACCTCATTAGGGCCCCACAGCAGGCTCGCGGCCTCCACCTCTGCTCGGCAGGCGGCCCGTCGAACTTCTCCCAGCAGCTCCCACAGCAGAGGGAAAGGACACGGAGAGCCTGTCCAGGGCTGGCTGCACGCTCAGTCTGGACACGCTCTGGCCTCGGCCCCAGAGTGTGGGGAGCAAGAGTCCTCAACTCCAGTCGATTTTGCTCACATCCGCAGTGCCTTCAGGAATGGCTGGCCCAGGCCGGGCAACGGGAGGCTCTGAGGGTGGATCGGCCAGGTTTGCTCCTTTTGTTGGAAAAATAACATTTTCCTCTTGAGGTAGGAATGTAACTGGGTGCAGCCTTGGCTAACACTCAACATCTTGCAGTTCCATCTCCTCAGTGGTGCTCTCTGCAAAGCAAAAGACAGGCCCGTCAGGTGTGGATCGGCCACGGGTGGTTTCTTGGGGAGACCAGGCTAACGGGCACCACCCCAGCCATGAAGTCGTGATGGATGATCGCAGGGCCCAGAGTTTTACCTTTGAGTTTGTGTCTTCTCTTCCTCTGGAATTTATATGCACACTTATTACACACCCACATGAGGCTGATTAACAGTGCGGCCACCGCAGCGAGAAAAGCAAGGAAGACAGCAACAAAGTGGAGGTCTTCATAGAGGATCTCTACGGGGCGGGTAGGGGAAGGGGCAGACAAGGTCTCTTTTAGTATCAAGAAGGCACACCCCCACACGCTGGCAGTTCGGCGGGGTGCCCGGGCCCCCGTCTTACCCGACACGTGCAGCACAATGGTGCCAAACTGGCTTCTCCCCAGGCGCTCCGTCACCGTGATGACGTAGTAGCCGGAATCCCTCACGCTCACACTGAAGAGCTGGATGGAGCCATTGTCGAAGGTGCAGAGTCTGTCCTTGTGGCTTTGGGAGATGTTGGCCTGAGTCCCTGGCTGCCACTCCACGATCTTCTGCGCTCCCCAGTTGGACGTATACTTCCACTCGATGGTGGGGACGCCGTGGCAGGAGTACTCAACCGAGAGCAGGATGTCTTCCTCCACCGTGGCATTGATGGTGGACTGGGGGATGTACAGTGACACGCCCTGACCTGCAGGACGGAGTGCCAGATGGGGGGCAACTTACATAGGAACTTACAGGCCAAGGAGCTGCCATGATTCGTTAGTTTATTTAGCAGATACTTACTGAGGGCCTGTTACATGCCAGGCTGTCTTCCAGATTCTGGTACTGGTGACAGAGTGGTGAAGGTTATAGCCTGAATATTTGTGTCCTCCCACCCACCCTGAAACTCCTATGTTGAAGCCCCAACCTCCAGCATGACTATATTTGAAGTTGCAGCCTCCAAGGAGGTAATGGAGGTTAAATGAGGTCATAAGGATGGGGCCCTGATCCAAAAGGAGTAGTGTCTTTATAAGAAGAGACACCAGAGAGCTCTCACTCTCTCATCTCTCCACAGGGATGCAAGGGGAAAATGAGAGAAAATACTCAGAGGTTGCAGAGAGAAGGTGGCTGTCTACAAGCCAGGAAGAGAGCACTCACCAGAAACTGAACTGTGCCAGAACTTTGATCTAGGACTTTCCAGCCTCTGGAACTCGAGAAAATAAATGTCTGGTGCTTAAGCCCCTCGGTGTGCGGTATTTTGTTATGGTCTAAGACCGTGAATAAGACACAAGGTTCTTGTATCCTGGACAAACAGTGAACCTCCCTGGAGGCTCCATTCTATAAGGGAGACATACCAGGGTGAAATAAAGGAGATCATTTTAGATAACGACAAGCACTTTAAAGACAATACAACAGGGCACTAGTGACTGGTGGGGGTGGAGATGGCACGGGACATTAGAGAGAATGGTCAGGGAAGACTTCCTGGAGGAAATGACATTTGAATGGAGACCTGAAGGACAGGCAGGCAGCGTGTGGAGACTCGCGGGAGGAGCATCTCGGGCAGAGGGAGCAAGCACAAAGACTGAGGTGAGGGCGAGTGCTGGTGTGTCTGGGGGACAGAAAGAAGGCCAGCATGCTCGAATGCAGTGAGCAAGGGGGTGGGGGGTGAGGCTGCAGAGCCGGCAACACGCCGGCCGTGAGGGTTAGGGATGGGGTTTCGCTCAAAGCTGATGGGAGCCATTGGAGGGCTTAGGCGGGAGGTGACATTCTCCATTAAGCTTGAGAATGTGCGCTGTGGAGAACATTCTGGGGGTGAGGGGACAAGAGCCGAAGCAGAACGAGCAGTCAGGTGGCTGCTACAGGGAACAGATAAGAGATGGAGGCGTAGCCTCGCAGAGCGTGAGCGGTGGTCTGATTCAGGCTGGGTCTTCGGCAGCAGGGCGGACCAAACACGCTGCCGGACTAGATGCGGGCGGGGGTGAGGCAGAGGCCCGGAGCAGGGGTTTCTGCGCATGTGTAGCTGCGTAGCAGCGCCGCCGACTGCGGTTCTGCGCACAGGCCCTTGCACAGGTACTACGTGGGTACCACGCCCAGGCCCCGCGCCAACCGCTTTACACACGTCGGCTCAGGAAGCAAGGTCTCACACACAACCTCCTGCAATTCCATCAAGCACAGAGCAAGCCTCATTGTCGACAGGACTAACTAGCTTGTCAAAGTTCATTCTGCAAGGCAGAGAGTCACACAGGGCTGCCGGCTCCAAAGCTTACATATTTAACCTCCAAGCTTGAATTCAGTAGTCAGTGGTTGGTGGTGGAGAGCACAGAATGGGACAAATGCCCCCACACCCTGAGAGGACTGCTCAGACTTGGCTGGAGACTGGATAACGAACAGGGCAGGACTGAAGCTTGGAGCCCGGCCCTTGGTTTCCACCTCCACTTCCTGTTTGGCCCCCCTCAATCTCTGAGTGCCCAGTTGCCCCAAGCCCCTGCCGTGTGGCTCCAGGTAACCACACCTGCTACTTTTCCAGGCGTTTCTCACTGTCCTCTCTCATCCCCAGCACGTTCCATTAGTGTTCCTCTCCTAAGGCTCTTGGCTAGGTGACTAGAAATCATCTGATAAACCTCATGCTGAAAAATTGGAATGTGGTAATGGTTTTCAAGAGTTACAATTGCCAAGTAACAGAAATACATTTTCTCCCAACTCTATTTTAAAACATGTTAAATTCAGAGAAAGGTTTTGAAAGGCCAGTACAATTAATATGTACCCTCTTCTTAATTTACTAGTTAGGAACATTTTGCCACATTTACTCTTTTTCTCAGGAAGAAAACAGAGGTCAAATTCCAGGTCAGCCCTTAGAGGCAGGAGTTATGTAGTTTCTTCATCTCCGTGTCCCTAACGCAATCCCTGACACATACTGATTGGTCAATAGGTGTTTGTTGAGTGAATGAATAACTGAATGACAAAATATTTATAACAAGAAGGGTGAGATTTCCTGATAGAAAGGTTGCTGCTGAAGTGGTCTGAAAAATTAGCACATCTTAAAGGTAACACACATATAAGAAAGAAAACTATAATTTAGTCAAGACTTTATGTGCCAGTTATTAAAATATATACTTATTGTACTTACCAATCATTCCCTAATGTTTTACATAAGTCAGCAACATGCCCATGTAACTAGGAAATGGAAAAGATGGGACTTAAATGCAGTTCTGTCTGATTCAAAGCCCTGTGTTTTTCCCTAAAGACACCACCAAAATATTAGAAATAATAAATGAATTCTGTAAAGTTGCAGAATACATAATATATAGAAATCGGTTGTATTTCTACATAGGATAATGAAGCAGCACAAACAAATTAAGAACACATTCCATTTACAACTGCACTAAAAAGAATAAAATATCTAGGAATAAACTGAATCAGGGAGATGAAAGACCCCAGTGAAGAAATCAAAGAGGAAATAAAAAAACAGAGACCAATAAAAATGAAAACACAACAATCCAAAATTTGGGACACAGCCAAAGCAGTTCTAAGTGGGAAGTCTACAGCAATATAGGCCCACCTCAAGAAACAAGAAAAATCTCAAATAAACAATCTAACCATATATATAAAAGGAATTAGAAAAAGAACAAAGCCCAAAGCTAGTAGAAGGAAAAAAATAAGGACTAGAGCAGAAATAGAGACTGAAAAAAACAGTAGAAAATATAAATGAAACCAAGAGCTGATACTTTGAAACAATAAACCAAATTAATAAACCTTTAGCCAGACTCATTAAGGAAAAAAAAGCAAAACAAACAAACAAAAAAGAGGACTCTATCAAATCAGAAATGAAGTAGCAATAACAACCAACACCACAGAAATGCAAAGAATTATAAGAGATTATGAAAATTTACATGCCAACAAATTGGACAACCTAGAAGAAATGGATAAATTCCTGGGAACCTATTCTCTTCCACAAATAAATCAGGAAGAAATGGAAAATCTGAACTGACCAATTACTAGTAATAAAATTGAGTTGGCAATCAAAAAACTCCCAACAAACAAAAAGTCCACAACCAGATGGCTTCACATGTCAATTCTCCAACACATTTAAAGAAGATTTAATACATATTCTTCTCAAACTATTCCAAAAATAAAAGAGGAAGGAAAACTTCTAAATTCATTCTATGAGGCCAGTATTACCCTGATATCAAAACCAAAGACACTACAAAAAAGAAATAAAAGAGAGAGAGAGAGAGAACTACAGGCCAGTATCTCTGATGAACATAGATGCAAAAATCCTCAACAAAATATTAGCAAACAGAATTCAACTATACAGCAAAAAAGTCATTCACCACAATCAAATGGGATTAATCCAAGGATGCAAGGGTGGTTTAATATCTGCAAATCATTCAAGGTGACACATCACATTAACAAGAGGAAGGAAAAAAACCATATGATTCTCTCAATAGATGCAGGAAAAGCATTAGACAAAGTACAACATCTGTTCATGATGAAAACCTCAACAAAGTGGGGCTAGAGGGAACATACCTCAACATAATAAAGGCCACACATAAAATCCACAGCTTGCATAATGGTGAAAAACTGAAAGTGTTTCCTCTAAGATCAGGAACAAACCAAGGATGTCCACTCTCACCACTCTGATTCAGCACAGTACTAGAAATCCTAGTTACTGCAAGCACACAAGACAAAGAATCAAAAAGGATCCATAGCGGTAAGGAAGAAGTAGAATGGTCCCTCTTTGCAGATGACATGATGCTATATATAGAAAATCCTAAAGACTCCACCAAAAAACTATTTGAATAAATGAATTCAGTAAAGTTGCAGAATACGAAATTAATATACAAAAATCTGTTGCATTTCTATACACTAATAACGAAGTAGCAGAATGAGAAATTATGAAAACAATTCCATTTACAGCAGCACCAACAAGAATAAAATACCTACGAATAAATTTAACCAAGGAGGTGAAAGGGCTATACTTTGAAAACTATCAGACATTGATGAAAGAAATTGAGGACAACACAAACAAATGGAAAGATATACCATGGATGGGAAGAATTAATAGCATTAAAATGGTCATATTACCCAAAGCAATCTACAGATTCAATGCAAGCCCTATCAAAATGCCAACAGCATTTTTCACAGAACTAGAACATAAATAATCCTAAGATTATATGGAACTACAAAAGACCCTGAATAGCCAAAGCACTCTCTAGAAAGAAGAACAAAGTGGAAGGTATCACAACCCCAGATTTCAAGATATACTACAAAACTACAGTAATTAGAACAGTATGATATCGGGGTGTCTGGGTGGTTCAGTTGGCTAAGCAACTGCCTTCAGCTTGGGTCATGTTCCCAGGATCCTGAGATTGAGTCCCCTGACAGGCTCCTTGCTCAGTGGGGAGCCTGCTTCTCCCTCTGCTTGTGTGTGATCTTGCTCGTTCTCTCTCTGACAAATAAATAAATAAATCTTAAAAAAACAAAACAAAACAGTATGACATGGACACAAAAACAAACACAGATCAATGGAACAGAATATAAAGACCAGAAATAAACCCACGGTTATATGGTCAATTAACCCATGACAAAGGAGGCAACATTATACACTGGGGAAAAGACAGTCTCTTCAATAAATGGTGTTGGGAAAACTGGACAGCCTCATGCAAAACAATGAAATAGGACCACTTTCTTACACCATCCACAAAATTT